ACCACACTATATGCACTGAAATCACATATCAAATGATGCTAAATCATGCAAATAGCCCAAGCAATGCATGCTAGTGGCTTGGAAACTCAAAGCTAGTGAGCTAGGATGCACTATGGCTATACAAAGCAAGGCATGCACGACCCAAACAACATCATACAGAGCTTAAGCATGGTAAAACATGAGGAAAAACTTCCTGGAGTAGAGCCAAAATCATGCTAGAATGATGGTCCAAAGCATGATGCATGTTAGGCCAGTTAGTGGAATTGCACTACAAGTGCAAAGAGCATGCAAGAGTGGCTTAAACTAAGCCAAAACAGAGGTATGCCATACTGAAATAAGGTCAAAATAGGCTGAGATGGAGCCAACATATGCTAGATAAACATGCTCAAACATGAGGCCAACAAAGCAAGCAACCAAGATACAAGGAGAGGGGTTGACCCCCTCCTATTTGGGACCTCAAAACACACTTTCCACCACTGAAGTTCCTCTGAGTTTCAGTGGTGAGAAGGCCAAAAAGAGCTGGTCCCAATAGCTTAAAATGACAGCTCAAAACAAGGCCAAACAAGGCACAAAAGGGGGTAGACCACCCCCAACACCAAAGGAGTCTCAAACAAACATGTTAAGCACTTAAAATCAGAACTTTTTGTAGTTTAAAGTTAGGCCTAAAACAGCATGCAAAGGGGGGCCAAAGGCTTAATCAAAACAAAGCTTTAAGGGGTTAGAAACTCACCCTTGTAGAACAACTTCAAGGAAGCAACTCCAGCGACCTTTTTGGATCAAAAGCAGTCCAAAAACTCCAAAACCAGCTTCAAGGTGCCTTAGCTCCAAGAGTATGGTGTTTCACTATGTGTTTATGTGTAAAAGTGTGAAGAAATGTCACTTTAAGGCACCAAAACAACAGAAAAGAGCAATATAGAGATAGATGATATATGTGTAGCTCTAAGGCAAAATTCCCAACCTATGGCAAGAGGGGGAAGGCTCCCGTTTATAGAAAAACATGCAACAAGCTTGTTGAACAAGCTCTAGGCTCCAAGCAATCCCTCCATACACATGTATGGGGGATGCCTTCTGTGCCCAATAGCTAGCACAGCTGGCAAGAAAATATCTGCAAGAAACTACAGGAAAGCTGCCGACCAATTAAAGTGGTCGGCTAGCTACTTGCATTGGTCGATCGACCAGCATAAGTGGTCTACAAGGATACCAAATGGTCGGCAAGGGGGGGAAGGTGGTCTGCACCAAGAAAGCAAGGTGATGGCATGGTTGATGACCACTTTTGGTGGTCCAAAAACCACCAAGACCAGTTGGCCGACCAGAAAACTGGCTGGCAGGCAAGAAAAGTGGTTTTCAGGGAGAGAAACTAGTCTACAACCCTCTTCCAACCTCCAAGCAAGGAAAACAAGGTTTGTGCCAAAAACAAACCAAAAAGGATGCAAGACAAGAGTCCGCAGGTCAAGGCACGTAGCCGGATGCCACGAAAACTAGTCTACGGGCACCAAAAGTGGTCTACGGGAGGGAAAAGTGGTCTACAGCCACAAAAGGTGATCTATAAGACCTCTGTGTCCCTCTAGGCAGAGGCAACAAGGCATGGTTCAAAAACCAAGCCAAGAGGAGAACGTTAAGCGGTCCCAAGACAAAGGCGCGCGGCCGAAGGCTCCGGAAACCGGAAACTAGTTTACAAGAAGGAAAAGTGGTCTATAACCACAAAAAGTGGTCTGCAGATCTTTCTCTCCCTCCAAGGAAGGTCAACAAGGCATGGTCCACAAACCAAGTCAAAACACAAAGAGTTCAGAGGCCCGGAGGCAAAGCACTCAGCTGAAAACTCCGGAAACTCGAAATAAGCCCAAATAAGCACAATCATCGAGCGCTCAAACGATGATGTCTGAGTCTTAAGGTCGGTCAAAAATGGGGTGTCTACAACCCCGAATACACATTTCGAGGCGTTCAAGGGAAGCTTGTGGGTCTTCAAGATTTGGAACACTTCCTTCAAGTCTCTCAGATGATGTTCGGCCAATTTACTTTTGACCACATTGTCATCTATATGGGCCTCAATAGTCTTGCCTAGTTGGTCCTTGAATATTTTAGTGACCATCCATTGATAGGTCGCACCAGCATTCTTCAGGCCGAAGGGCATCACTTTGTAGCAGTAGGTGCCCCTTAAGCTAATAAATGCTGTCTTCTCCTGGTCAGGGCCAAACAAGGGGATTTGATGATAGCCACTGTAGGCATTTAGGAAGCTCATCTGTTCATGTCCGGTAGTTGCATCTACCAGTTGGTCTATCCATGGGAGAGGAAAGTTGTCCTTAGGATAAGCTTTGTTGAGGCTGGTGAAGTCGACACACACGCTCCATTTTTTGTTCTTTTTCTTTGCCACGACGGTGTTAGACAACCATTTCGGATATTGTACCTCATGTATGACCCCTACCACTAGAAGCTTGTTTACCTCTTGGATGACCGCTTCTGTATATTCTGCGGATGATCGTCTGCTCTTTTGGACTACGGGCCGAGCTGCTGGTTGGACATTGAGTTAGTGACATGCAAAGGCTGGGTCCAACCCAGGAGTCTCACAAGTAGACCAGGAAAATACTTCTATATTCTTGCAGAGGAGAGTTAGCAACTGCTCCTTCTCTCAGCGAAGTGCCGAGTAGAAAGAACTTGTCTGGATCTCCTCCGCCCACCAAGATCGTTTCGAGGTCCTCCACTATCTTCTCTGTTGGCACTCTACCAACGTCTTCCAGTATAGGCTGATCAGGCAGTTCGACCATCTGGACTTCTTTGTATGCTTGTTTAGACTTCATGGCGGCGATGAAGCAGTGCTTTGCCGCTACTTGGTCACCCTTGATCTCCTCCACCCTATTCTTTGTTGGGAAACGGACTACCTGGTGGTAAGTGGATGGCACTGCCTCCATTGTATGAATCTAAGGTCGACCGAGTATTGCATTGTAAGGAGATGAAGTGTTGATCACCAAGAAGTCGACAGGGACCACTTTGGACTTTGCTGTGACGGACAAGGTGATCTGGCCATGTGACCACTCTTCTGTCTATTGAAGCCGACCAAAGGGAGACTGCAAGGATTAAGTGTTGCTCATCAAGACCCAGCTTTTTGAAAAGGTCATAATACATAATGCCAACGGTGCTCCGTTGATCAATTAGGACCTGTTTCACATCAATGTGAGGATGTTGGATCCCTTTTAGATCTTTCCCGGAGAACACAATGTTGAATTGAGAGGGCTTTGCTTCCGTTCTGGACTTCTTGAGCAATGGTCCTACTGACATGACTTGTTGCAAGTGCGTGGCTCTCTGAATCTCGCCACGAAGGACATTCTCCCTTTGGGGGTTGGTCATCCCATGGATAACGTTTATCACTAGCCTTGAGGCTTGGTCCTCTGGTAGAGGGGTTGGGGGTTGTCCCTGTTTTGCCCTTGTCTTTTCCACATCGATCCATTGCTGGAGGTGGCCGGCAATGACCAAGTCTTCAAGATGCCTCTTAAGGTCTCTGCAGTTCTGCGTCTTATACCCTTTCTCACGATGGTAGTGCACTGCCACTCCTGGTTGCACTGAGTAGGGTCCCCTATCATCTTAGGAGGCCATACGAAGTAGGGTTGTCCCTTGATTTTTTCCAAGAGCTTGTAGATTGGCTCCGTGAACACAATGGTTATGGCTTCGTAGGATCTACTCATTTCTTCTTCGGTTTGCATGGTCGGTTGCTTATTTTGGCCATACCTCTTTCTTTGGTCCTCCCTCCTAGGCTGTACGGCCCTATGTTGCCAAGAGGCCTTAACTCCCTCATCTGCAACTGACACTTGTATAGAGGCTATGTCATCTTCCATACGGGCTCGCTCCTTTATTTGAGCCCTCAGCTCTTTCAAGTCAGAGGCAGGTCGTTTCGCCAATGACTGCCTAAGCTTCTGGGAAGAGGGGAGGCTTTGTTTGAAGTATAGAGCTGCCAACGGCTCACTACAAACATGTTCTTCCAAATCGCCATATGCCTCCTAATATCGCCGAGTGTATTCGCGCAAAGACTCATTTTTATCCTTCCGAGTATTGAACAAGGTATCCAATCCCTTCGTGATTCGGCTATTAGAAACAAACCGTGCGACGAAAGCTTTGGAGAGCTGAGCCCAATCATAGATTGATTGAGGAGGAAGCTTGTCATACCACCGGAGGCCATGCTCACCAAGGCTAGAGGCAAAAACCTTGCATATGAACGCATCGTTCTGATTCCAAAGTGACATCATTTGGCGGTAATGGTTGATATGAGTCAGGGGGTCTGACTTCCCATCATAGAGGATGAACTTCGGTGGATTGTACTTATGAGGAGCTTCCACTGCTTCAATCTCAGTGCAAAGGGGGGAAGAGACTAGTCGGCCCAGAGCACAACTCTCTATTTGATGAATGGACCAATCTAGATGTTCCTTTTCCCTTTCTAATCGCCGTTCTGCTACTTTGTTCGACCGTCGGTCATTCCCTTGGTTTTCGTTCAACCATGTCTTCAAGTCACGCGGTCGCTCGTCACGACGGCGCGGAAGAGGAGAGATTGCTGAATAATGACTGATGGACTTTTGTCTCTTGCGAGAGTTTTCTCGGGGATTCTTTGTCCTACTACTGGCTCCCTCACTGTGTACCAGAATCAGCCGGCTACGCTCACCACGAGCAGGACTGTAGTTAGACCATTCACGTTGTAGGGGCAATGGAAGAGTGTGCCTCCGTTGCTGCGACGGTCCCCCTCCGGACTTCCTTGGCTCACTCTGAGGTGCCATCTGCTTCCTCAGTTGAGCACGTAACTCCTCAATCTCTAAACTCATCGAGTCGATGACACAATCATGGTGGTCTTTCTCGACTAATAGCCATTGAGATGACTGATATGCGGCGGCATGACGTCGCTCCGTCGTATGGAGGGTCGGACTGTCGTGGTCCATTAGGCTGTCGTTTCCGATAGGGAAGGCCAGACCCTTGTCTCCGTTCCTGGAGTCTTCTCTCCAATCCCTGGTTGCGAGGTTCCTTCAATATCCATCGTCGAAGTTCGTCACAAAGCAATCAGAGAACGTTTTCCACAGACGACGCCAAATGTACAGACCTGTTTCCGCAATAGAGTAAGATGGAACATCATGGATGAACCCTGGTGCACCGATGGGTGAAGGCCTGCACAAGGAACAAATAGTTAGGCTGCCCGACCGGGGGTTGGTCGGAAACCTCTCCGACGGTCGAGTCAGTTCCGAAGTTTAGTAGAGACAAGATAGAGAAGACCAGTGTGTTTCTAGAGTTAAGAGATCGCCCATTTCAAGGAGAGTAAGGTTACCTTTTATAAGGATCGTATGACTTATTCATCAAGCTCCCTCGTTCTCCACCTAGTCCTCAGCTGTGATGGTAGCACATCCCTTAATAGAGGGGAGCAAGTTCCGTCATTCATCGGCACCACGTGCCTTTTACTTTACATGGTATTGATTGATCTGTTAGCACTCATCTGTCGTGGAGTGGGAGCCTTGAAGCCCAAGTTATGGACTTACCCACTTCGGAGTGGGGAGCGGTGCTAGGGCCAGGCCCATGGTCTTTCCTTCTTCGAAGTGGGGAGTGATGCTAAGGCCAGGCCCATGGTCTTTCCTCTCTTCAGAGTGGGGAGTGGTGCTAGGGCCAGGCTCATGGTCTTTCCCCTCTTCGGAGTGGGGAGTGGGCCAAGATTGATCCCTTAGCTTGGCCCACCATAGAGTAGAGAGAGAGAGCCCACTTCGGAGTGGGGACCTTCGTCCAGTCCAACGAGGCTCCATACAAATAGGCTTGAGTACAGAGTGGGGACCTTCGTCCAGTCCAACGAGGCTCCATACAAATAGGCTTGAGTACGGAGTGGGGACCTTCATCCAATCCAATGAGGCTCTATACAAATAGGCTTGGTACGGAGTGGGGACCTTCGTCCAATCCAACAAGGCTCCATACAAATAAGCTTGAGTAATTGTGCCCCATTCACATATATAGATCCAAATTTCAAATGTTGTTATAGAAAATGAATCGATCTGTGAAGAATATAGAGATCATACCTGTGGGATCAGAGATAAGACTGACAGTCACGAACCTCCAACTGCTAGGGTTTCTTGCTCAAAGAGAGAGAGTAGAGAAACCCTACATTAAATATATATATATATATATATAAATACCCCGAATTAGTTATTTAACAAAATTAATTAAAAAAATTAAATTTTTAATTAGTAAAATTAAAATTTCAATTACTTTCTTATATAATAACAAAATTACTTACAGTAGATTATTAAATTTTTGACATCATTAAAAAATTTTAAGTGACTTAATATTTATTAATAAAATATATCATTTGTTACGAAATTATAAAGGGGAATTTTTTTTAAGATCCCTGATAATAGTAATTTAGAGGATAAAGAACACCAAAAAAATGGGTGATGGATCAGGTCCCTCAACTTTTATCGCGCGCATTTTTAATTATCTCATGGACCAAAATACCCTTCACAAATCAACACAGAAACTGAACTAAACTCCAACAACTGAGTTCCATTCCAAACATCCAACCATCTTCATGAGCAAGAGAACACCAGAATTAGAGTTTCAATATCATCTTCACCATCGACATTAGAGCTTCATTATCTTCTGCAAAAATCATTCCCATTCTTTCCTCACAAATTTCTCTAACCCCATTTTCACTGTTCATCATCATCTCAGTTCATCTTCGTCGCGTCACATCTTCATCTCAGGGCATATCAGCTCGTCATTAAAGTTTCATCCTAACTCTGGTAAGTTTTTCTACAATACAACTAGATTTTCTCTGGAAACACAGTTAATTGCATTTTATATTAACCTTCCATAAATTAGGGTTTCAGTTTCGTAATAAAAAGCTACATGAATTTGAAAAAAGTTATTTCTCTGTGTTTTAAACTTATTCTTGAACATGTTTGTGTGATTTTATCTGTAAATTTCTCTGGCATTTGAATTTCTCTGGCTTTTGCTTGATGTATGTTTCTTTTTTGAATTTTCTCTGACATGTTTATTTTGAAAAAAGTAATTTCTCTGTGTTTTCATCTTATTCTTGAACATGTTTCTGTGATTTTGTTTATAAATTTCTCTACTCTATAAATTTCTCTATAATATGTATTTTTAATTGGAATGTCTATCTTTCTCTGGAATGTCTTTTACTCTCTTGTCTCTGTCTAAGTTTCTCTGGTATTTATAATTTTCTCTAACCACATCACTTTCCTCTCTTGTGTGTCTCTATCATGTTTAATTTTCTCTGGTTGTGTATGTAAATTTCTCTGGCATTCTAATATTATGAATTGAATTTTTCTCTGGAATGGAAATTTTCTCAAGAATGTGTAATTTTCTCTAGAATGTGTATTTTTCTCTGATATGTTTATTTTGTTCAATTCTTAGTTTCAATGTGGTGTAATTTTCAGTGGCATGTTTACATTACTTTGTTTATTTTATCTTGCTAATTGTGGAATGGAAATTTTCTCTAGCTTGCCATGTTTATTAGTACTCTGACATTTAATTTTCAATGTTTAATTTTCTATGACAGTTATAATTTTCTCTGGCCACCTTAGTTTTCTCCCTTAAGTGTAATTTTCTTTGGGAATGGAAATGAATTATGGCTGCATGTATTCCACATTACTTTTCTCCCTTGTGTCTATCTGCCATGTTTTTAATTTTCGGTGTCTAATTTTCTCTGGCCACCTTAGTTTTCTCCCTTATGTGTAATTTTCTCTAGGAATGGAAATGAACTGTGGTTGCATGTATTCCACATTACTTTTCTCCCTTGTGTCTGTCTGCCATGTTTATAATTTTCAGTGTCTAATTTTCTCTTACATTTATAATTTTCTCCGGCCACCTTAGTTTTCTCCTTATGTGTAATTTTCTCTGGGAATGGAAATGAACTGTGGCTGCATGAATTCCGCTTTACTTTGCTCCCTTGTGTCTGTCTGCCATGTTTTTAATTTTCAGTGTCTAATTTTCTCTAACATTTATAATTTTCTCTAGCCACCTTAGTTTTCTCCCTTATGTGTAATTTTCTCTGACATGTTCAATTTTCTCTGGCATGTTCAATTTTCTCTGGGATTTAATGTTGACATCTTTATGTTTTCATCATTGTCTAGAAATGGCAAAACGTAAAAGCAACAAAACACCAGAAACACCGAGCAAGAAATA